AGGAGCACTAAATCAGTATTCTGAACCTGAGAGATTCGGAACTCTAATAATCCATTTCAAGGACGTCCGGCGCCCGAGTATAATTAACTTGCAGTGGACATCCTGCTTTCGTGGAAGATTCTATGGCTACATTTTTCTAGCCATTTAGATGGATTGAAGTCAAGTAAAGATCACGACTGGATGCCACGACGTATACTATGACTGCCAAGAACACATTATTAGGGTCTCTAAATTAGCTCTGTTACTTCAGTAGTAAACAGAAAACGGGATAAGCTTACTTATGGCATGCATTGGCCGGGATACACAGTGTCCGATGGAGTCCTTCGTTACTGCCGCACATGCGCGCAGCGAACTTCAAATAGATGCTCATGACACGTCATTTAATGTACCCAGACGTTGTCACCGGCTAGCTTTGCTCAGTAGTGTCATTAGAGAACGTGAGAGGGAAGGGAAATTGACGTCGAGGGGCCTCAGATCTAGCGCCCACTGTCCTAACTGCAAGCAACGAAACACGTCCTTAAAGTATCACGAAACACGGAAGGTTGGAGCTTGGAAGATTATTAGCTGCAGGACAACTCTGTCCTATCTTGGTACGGCGACCATATTGCAATGACTCTTTCTGACACTTAATGGTTTGAGGTCGGAGACTCCTTTCTTTGAAGTTCGCCCATGTGAAGTAGGAGGTAGCACTCACAGTACGCGAAGATAGATTAACAAAACTTGCCGGCCAATGCGCCCGTACTTATCTTTAGTTTTCTTTGACCTCGCATTACCATCAGAATATTGTGGGTGTGAGAGCAATGTGGCGAATGGTGCGTAATCCTGCTTCACTAAACGAAAGTTTCCGCGCAAGTCACAAGTGCGTCCTCTGCGGGACAGTGGTACCGATTCATAGACCTAAATTCAAACTCAGAGCGGAAGATGCGGAGTCATTCTTTGTACTCATTCCCAACATTCATCACAGTTGCGGTCTTTCGCTCTTTTGTGGACGAGACTCAGGAACTATGCTCATTTAAAGTTGCATAAAAATACTGCCAAGTGTTTGGAAAACTGCTAGGCACCCTCCTTAATACCTTGTAATTGTCCTGACAGATTTTCGGTATTCTCACCACAAATTCAACCCTACCGAAAGAATCTATGTCGTCAAAGCAAACAAGCGTTACGGGCCAGAACAGTTCGTAATTTGGTAAATGGAACGTTTGACTTCTACCAACCTCCAATGAAATAAACGGCTTGAACTCAGGCGTAAAACAACTAGTTGAGCGTAAGTGGTTAATCTGGCCCTCCTGCTGGCGTTTAATTCTGATTAGCTCTGCCTCAACAGTGGTCCGATGGTCATAATGAGTGCGGTTGTTTCAGAGATCTGGCACAATGATGGACTACTACTGTTGAAGGTGTGGAAGCTTGTCTACATAAGGTCCGATAAGCAGCTCTAGGTATCACACTTTTTACTCGCCTGGGTTTGCATTCTGCTCCTCCAATCAACTACAGTAGGTGTGATAACTCACGCAATGTTAACGGAAATTCTGAAATGCGTTTTCGTTTCAAAAAGATTACTTAGGCAGGGTTTTAAAAGTAATTACCATGCAGCATAATTCTATAATAATTCAGTTACCTGGGGATGCTGGCTTTCGAACGAAAATCTTACCGGCCGCATGCAAAAACTATACTTTGCAAAAATGACTACTTAAGTAGCATTAATTTTTTTATTGATTTTAGATGCCTTTAAAATTAAATTATATTTCATGGGAAGCATGCATAAAAATATTCATTCTTTCACTCATTCGGTGGAAAATTGCGTCTTCCAATTTTAAACTCGAAGGCAGGGTATAACTCGATTTCAAAAAACTTCCAATCTCCGAATAATTTTGAACCCGACCTGCCATTACACTTGCATTCAGGGTTTATAAACTACAAACCACATAGTTCTCTACGGTGTTAAGAGGAGACCATATGGAGTTCATAAAATCTAGCGGTGGATTTGAATCATATTGTAAACTTTACAAGCAACACTAGTAAATGCAGAGACGCGCTGTTTTATGAAAGGGTATCTCACGGTATAAAAAATCTCACAAGAAGAAGCTTTTTAAAACCGAATTATGTCCTTCCTTCGACTATGAAATTGGATATAGACGTAATT